TAGGCGTAAGGCCAGAGGTCCTTCTCTCTTTCTCTAAGATTAGTTTAACTCTTTGAAAGGCAGAGAGAGAGAGAGAGGTCTTTTATCTGCTGGTTCACTCTCCAAAGGGCCGCAATGGTCAGGAATAGCCAGGCTGAAGCCAGGAGCCTGGCATACCATCTGGATCTCCTATGTGGGTGCTGGGACCCAAGCACTTGGGCCATCTTTTACTGCTTTCCCAGGCCACAGCAGAGAGCTGGACCAGACAGCGGAGCTGCATCAGACAGTGAAGCTGCCAGGACATTGCTCTCGTGGGATGCCGGTGCTGTGGGCAGCAGCTTAACCAGCTGGGCCACAGCTCTGGCCCTGAGGCTTTTCTCTTAAGGCCATACAGAATAAAAATGATTCCTTGCAATCACATAGTGTGCTAATGCTTCTGAGTGAACATGAAGTCTCTTGATCCTAGCAGCAAATTTTTGAGGAAACTGAGGCCCAGAGTGGCTACTGCAGATGTCACGGAGCAGGCAGCCAGCAGGGCCAGGACACAGACCCGCTTCTTCAGGTCTGAAGCCTTCCCAGCCCATCGCCCTGGGAGCCGCTGCCTGATGCCTAAGGCCCAGGGTTCTCGGGGAGCGACTTCACTCCATTCAGGCAACCGTCTGCGCCCAGCACTGCAGTGTTTTCTTACTGAATGCAAAAAGCCTTCCGTGGGGACACGGGGATGCCAGCCACCCAGGGCTCCGCTGATTCTAGCACTGCATTGGAACAATAATTTATAATAAGAGGCAGAATACAGCTTAAGGACTACAAACGGCATCCACCAGAAACCCCTTGCTGCCTCACGTCTGAACGCTAGAAATGAAAACTTTCAGACAGGGCTCTCGATGGAGCTGTCATCGCGTGCAGCAATGATGGAGAAGAACGCCTTCTAAAACCCCCACGTGGTCCCCTTGGTTCCGCTCCTCCCCTCTCTGCTTACCCCAGGCGGGGTGTGTGTGCATGTGTGTGCATGTGCGAGTATGTGTGCCATCAGTCACTGCCAGAATGAAGGCAACGTTTCTGGAAATATCCACTGGGAGTGCTAATCTTCAGAAATCAATGGTAAAATCATATTTTTGTAAACTCATGTATATATATATATATATATATGCTGATGGATACGGATATATATTCATTCTATGGTCCTTTCATTTTAGACTGTATTGTTTTTATTTTATTTTTTGTATTTGACAGGTAGAGTTATAGACAGTGAAAGAGAGAGACAGAGAGAAAGGTCTTCCTTTCGTTGGTTCACCCCTCAAATGGCCGCTACGGCTGGAGCTACACCAATCTGAAGCCAGGAGCCAGGTGCTTCTTCCTGGTCTCCCATGCGGGTGCAGGTCCCAAGCACTTGGGCCATCCTCCACTGCCTTCCCGGGCCACAGCAGAGAGCTGGATTGGAAGAGGAGCAACCAGTACTGGAACCCGGCGCCCATATGGGATGCCGGCGCCACAGGCAGAGGATTAACCAAGTGAGCCATGGCGCCGGGCCCCATTTTAGAATGTATTGTAACTATTCCAAATTACTTTTTTAAAGCAAAGTTATTAACAAATTTGGAAAATGTTACTGAAAAAATCCAGCTCCTAGCATTGTACTTGTCACATGGTAGGCAGCTGACACGTAGTTGTTGCATTAAAAACACCATTGAAGAGGTTATTATTATGTTTGCATTTATTTAGTCCACTTAGAAAGTTCTCTGTATTTAACCTAAAATAAGTTAGATTATTGACACATAGTATTGACAACGTACTATAAACTATCCCTTATCCCTGCAATTTCACCGCAAATAATAAACAGAAGTGACATGTTCTCTCTCCAAAATATTTTTTCAAATCATTTACATACAAGTGTATTGTGAATATTTTGCTGTATTGAAAGCGTATCTACTCAAGGACATAGTATAGAATCATACTCGCCTAAGTCCTTAGACTGCTCATTTCATATTACCAATGTTGTAATTCTGCTGTTTTTCTATTTTAATGTTGGGTTTCAAACTCAACACTGCTTTCACTCTACACATTTAGATATGGGGACCAGTACTGTGGCACAGAGGGTAAAGCCGCTGCCTGCAGTGCTAGCATCCCATATGGGTGCCAGTTCGAGTCCCGGCTGCTCCACTTCCAATCCAGCTCTCTGCTGTGGCCTGGGAAAGTAGTGGAGATGGCCCAAGTCCTTGGGTCCCTGCACCCGCATGGGAGACCAGGAGGAAGCTCCTGGCTCCTGGCTCTGGATCAACCCAGCTCAGGCCATTGCAGCCATTTGGAGAGTGAACCAGAGGATTGAAGATCTCTCTCTCTGCCTCTTCCTCTCTGTAACTCTGCCTTTCAAATAAATAAATCAAACTTTAAAGAAAATGTAGCTAAGTCCTAACAGCTGGTGAAATCTCCGATTTTTGTAGCTTAGTCCTTCTTTTCCATGCACGCTTATTTCCCCCTTTGCTGTCATCACCCTGGGAACAGTGTCCTCTGGTACTGAGAGGCTGGCGGCCCTGATCATCACTCACTTAACAAGTGCCCTCCCAGCATCTACTCTGTGCCCACACCATCACAGGCAGTCGTGACTTTCATAGCATCTGTCTGAAGTGCTAAAATTTAGATCTTCCAAAAAGCACTGACTTTAAGTCAAATCATCAAATCAAGACAACTTTTGTGTTTCCAGTTTCATGCGAGGGCTGAGCGTTAGATGCTATAGAACCATCGGTGGAGGCCCAGGCTCCTGATAAATGACATGTTTCAGCAAATCATGACAGTGAGGTACACAGCTGCATGGTAAGCATCCTGGATGTGGAACCAAAAACCTGGTGGTGAATCCTGGCTCTCCCTCTTACTGGCTGTGCTTCCTCTGAGAAGTTACTTAACCTCTCTGAACTTTAGTTTGCTCATTTGTGAAAGCTGGAACTAATAGCTTTATATACCTCACAATTAGGTGAAATGATACGGATTTCTTTTAACTAAAAGAGTTGACAATTTTAATTTCACATTTCGCAATACAAATGAAAACTGTACCTTTCAAAATCCCACTTCTCCCCCTAAAAACTGTCCTTTCTTTGATAGGAAGGGGGGCAGGTTTTCGTTGTCATGCTAGAAAACACCCCAAGTCCCAGCACCGAGATCTCCTGGTAAAGAAGAGGTGACACAGAACTGCTAGGAAGAGGCCTCCCCTCTTTCCCTATCCATTCAGCCGAGTCATTCCTGGATGAGTGGGCACCATCGGGGACACCCAGGGTCTCATCACTGGGGACCCTGGCGTCAGTGGCACAGGCCTCCCATGGGTGGCCCCATGCCAGGAGGAGGAGGACCCATCACTGACATCATGAGAGGGCCTCCCATATGGGGTACGGGCAGCACACCAGGGCGAGGGGACCTGGGAGGCCGGGGGGAGGTGGATCATGGCCCCTGCAGGAGCAGGAGCAGAGCACAGAGCAGGGGCATCTGTTTTGTTGAGATGCAGCCGCTGTGTCATTAGTCAGGCTCTGGGCCTGCTCTTCCATCCACTTCTGACTATAGTCTTTTACATTCTCTGCTTCCTACCACTGCAGCGTGTCTTTCTCGCTGATGGAGAGTCACATACTGTAGGAGTCAGAGTAAAACTTGGGCATGTTGCTCTGCAGGCCGTTGGCCACTCTGTTCCCCACTGTTTTGTTTTGTTTTGTTTTGTTTTTTTTTAAGATTTATTTTCTTTATTTGAAAGGCAGAGTTTCAAGGAGAGGGAGAGACAGAGAGAGATCCTCCATCCACTGGTCCACTCCTCAAATGGCCACTATGGCTATGGCTGGGCCAGGCTGAAGCCAGGAGCCAGGAACCTCCTCCAGGTCTCCCACGTGGGAACAGGGGCTCAAGTACTAACTAAGGCCATCCTCTTCTGCTTTCCCAAGTGCATCAGCAGGGGGCTGGATCAGAAGCAGAGCAGCCGGGACTTGATCTGGTGCCCGTGTTGGGTGTTGACATAACAGGCAGTGGCTTCACCCCTTACACCACAATGCCGGCCCCGGGATGATACGTTTAAAGCACAGAGATCAGTGTTGGCATTTACTAACTGCTCCAGACATTAGCTAATAACCGGAGGAATAAGGATGATGGTGATGGTAGTATTTACCTGGGTCAAGGAGCGTCCTTACTTGGCTGGACAAATCTAAAATGCATCAGAGCAGGGCAGGTTAAGATGCCACTTGGGATCCCCGCACCCCATATCTGAGGGCCTGAATTCAAGTCTGTGCTCCCCTCCCCATTCCAGCTTCCTGTTAATGCACACGCTGAGCGCAGCGCTGGTCCACATGGGAGAGCAGGACTGAGTTTCTGGCTCTTAGCCTGGCTTGGCTCAGCCTCAGCTGTTACAGGCATTTAGGGAGCGAACCAGTGGATGAGGTTTCTCTCTTTCTCTCTCTCTCTCTCTCTCCTCTGTGTGTGTGTGTGTGTGTGTGTGTGTGTGTGTGTCTGGCTGTCTGTTTTTCAGTGACTCTGCCTTTCAAATAATAAACAATTTAAAATACATAGAAGGAATGGAGGTTTTGGTTGCTTATTTTTTCATGTCCTAGTTATTCATAAAGTGTCAAACAAGCAAGTTATTTCAAGATTCATTTGTTTTCAAGTATTTTTCAAACACATTAACCCATTTCCAAAGTTAAAACGAAATATACTGTAACAACATGTGCTAAGTTCCTGTAGGGTTTGAGAGGTCATACTTTGCAATGAGTGCAACAGAATGTTACCACAGATGCAAAAGTTTCATTAAATTTGTACTAAGCACAGAACAAACCTAACGATTTATTTAGCCAAACGACATACTTACCTTGTTTCTTCTTCTGAAAAGAGTCGTGCTGACAACATTCGAGTTGACTGAAAGCCCCTGACAGCACTGAAATCTTATGCATTCACTATGACTGCAATTTTCCTTATTAACTGTAAAATACAGATTCGCCGCTGCTGAACCTGTTCTGCGGTGGATGCAATACCCCCGTGACATTTCTAAGAGCTTTACTCACAATGGCCACAGGGTCGTTGCTGCGGGTCGCGGCCAGGCTGAACTTCTTCACGTGAGTGTTGGTCTCCAGCGCCTTCGCAAAGTCCTTCAGGGTTGGGATTGGAATGTTCTAAGACAGAGGAGATAGGAGGCACTGACGAACTCCGCTACAGCCCACCGGTCCACAGCTGTTAGACACCACATAGGTTTAGATGCCTCATTACACGGCCTCCCTGCAGAACCCGGCTCTTCACCCAGTCTCAGGCAACGAAGCTATCCTGAACCAATAGCACCCCCTAGTGCCCAATATGGGAATCTAACACCACGGCACATTCTGGCCTCACCTTTCTGTCTTGCCTCCCCGAGAAATTAGGCACACACTATACTTCCCTCTTCTCCCTTCTCGTTCTCTGTATACTCTGGTCTCTCAGTCCTCCATGCCTTTGGACATGCTTTTCCTGTGAATTTCTTTTGTCCTTTTCTCTGATTAGTTCCTATTCATCTTTCCAAACGCAGGTGCCATACCACCTTGTTTACTGGTTCTCCTAAGAGAATTAAAATTTTCCTTTCAAGTCTTGGCTGCTCCACTTCTGATCCAGCTCTCTGCTGTGGCCTGAGAAAGCAGTACAAGATGGCCCAAGTCCTTGGGCCCCTGCACCCGCGTGGGAGACCTGGAGGAAGCTCCTGGCTCCTGGCTTCAGATTGGCACAGCTGGGGAGTGAACTAGTAGATGGAAGACCTCTCTCTCTTTCTGCCTTTCCTTCTCTCTCTGTGTAACTCTTGACTTTCAAATAAATAATAAAAAAGGAGGATAAAAAAATTTTTCCTTTCCTGAAATTCTGTAACATTTAGGCGCTTATTACATCACGTAATTATCTGCCTGATGTCTGTCTCCTAGCGTGAGTTTTTCAGAGCAGAATGAATGCATGTCACTCATCTTTGTCTTCTTGAGCCCCAAGCAGCGGAGGGGAGGCAGCGAGGGGCACAGCACGAGTCCTGGCTGCACCACAGGCAGCCCTGTGACCTTCGCGACTCAACCTCTTCAAGTTCCAGCACGGAATAGATGAGATGATAAATTTCAAGTATTTGTAAAGGACGTGGCACAAAGAGAGTACTGTATGAAAGGCAGTTATTATCCATTGCTTAGGAACTGGCCCAACAGGAAGGAATAAAACAGACTTTACGTGATGTTCTTACACACACACACACACACACACACACACACCATGTATCGGCAAATGGCATAAAGTGGAAGTGACAATCTGTGACTTCAGAGACCAAGTCACAAAAGGTGTTGTGGCTCCCTGCTTGCTCTCTCCCAGGGCACTGGCTCTAGGGGAAGCCCGGCTGTCGGTGGCCCGAGGGAGAGACCCCTTGGGGGGCCCTGCCTTCAGCCATAGGTGTCAGCGGCCATCCTGACGGCTTTCCCGGTGCCTTAACTCCAACCCCAAGCCGAATCCACAGCTAAACCACTCCCAGGCTGACTTGATACTCCAGGGCTAGGTGAAAGAATAAATGTCCATGGCTTGAATCCCCGAAGTTTGGGAGAAATTTGTTATTCAGCAACTGATACAACTAATGTACCATGCTTAACCTAAGTACAGAGATTCCTCTCATTGCAGAAATTCTAGAAAGCACTTCTTTTTTTTAAAAAAATAGCCACTTCTTTTGAATAGAATTTCTTGCCTCTAAGTCAGTGCCTACAAGGCGTGCCAGGAGGGTGAGCACCAGGAGCCCAGCCACGGTGAAGTACCTTGATGTTGTTGAGGTTGACTTCTTGTAGGCTGGGGTCATTGGCTTTCAGCTGCTGCAGACTCACTTCCACGTTGGTGGGGTTGGGCGGCTCCTCGAACACAGGCTTCACCTTTTCACCTTTGACCACATCTAAAACCCAAGTTTTCATGTTAACAGGAGCACGCAAGGGCTCTCCTATCAAAATCAGATGGCGGGGCCAGCACTGTGGCATAGTGTGCAAAGCCACTGCCTGCAGTGCCAGCACCCATATGGGTGCCAGTTCAAGACCCGGCTGCTCCTCTTCTGATCCAGCACTCTGTTATGGCCTGGGAAAGCAGAAGATGGCCCAAGTTCTTGGGCCCCTGCACCCACATGGGAGACCCAGAAGAAGCTCCTGGCTACTGATCGGTGCAGCTCCGGCTGTTGCAGCCAACTAGGGAGAGAACCAGCAGATGGAAGACCTCTCTCTGTAACTCTGACTTTCAAGTAAATAAATAAATCTTAAAAAAAAAAATCAGAGATGGCATCCCCCTGGGTCACTGATGATGGTAAGCTTATTCTCAATGGGCAGGCATGGGAGCACACGGCCCAGCCACAGTGTGGAAGACTGACATTTCCCAACCACAGGGAGCAGTCTCAGAAGCCGATGCAGCACGGAGCCAAAAGCGAGAGGCCCCGACAGCCCCTGACGTGGCGTGGGCATTCCTGATGCTCCACGGAGTCCTTTCCCAGACCTGAATTCCCAGCCCAGGTCAGGCACGCCAGGAAGACACCATTCTGGGTCCCTTCATCTCCCAAACCTTAATATCCCTTGGATCTAGTCTGTAGGAAGGTATGAGGAAGGGGGGAGGGGAATGGAAGAATTCTCAGAGGAAATTAAAATGCTGGGAATATATATAAAGAGCTAACATGCCAATATACACAGAGCTGCTACAGATCAGTAAGTCAAACCAATTAAAATGAGCAAATAAGATGCTCAGGAGAATCTGCTGTTCAACCAGAAATATATAAAAGTAATTAAATTCCAAAATGGAAAAGTAAGATATCACTCGGTTGAAAAAAAAAAAAAAACAGTAAAAAGAGATATTCAGATTGACAACAATGTGGAAGAAAAAGCTTTCTCACATATTATTGGTGAGAATGTAAACAGATACAAAAATATTTTGAGATAGGAATTTAGTGTTATCTGCCAAAACAATGTTTTATTTGAAAGACAGAGAGAGAAAGAGTGTTCTCATTTGCTGCCTCACCATCTCAAATGCCTGCAACAGCCAGGACAGGGCTTGGCTGAATCTGGGAGCTGGGAACTCAAACTGCGTCTCCCAAGCGGATGGCAGGGAACCAAGTACTCGAGCCACCACTTCCGGCCTTGCCAGGGATCGCATCAGCAGGAAGCTGGGTATCCAATCCAGCGCCTCTGATGGTGACATGGGCATCTCGACTGACATTTAACCACTGGGCTCACTGCCTCCCCTTAGCTATTAAAAGCTAAAGTGTGCATCCTCTATGACCCAGCAAGTCTACATCTGAAGTCCAACCTACAGAAAAACAGCACAAAAACAGAAAGCCAAGTATGCAGGGATGTCTCTTGATATATTATGTATATTCTGATATATTACAAAACATAACAGTAAAATAAAATCTATCAACATGAAAATCATTAAATGAATTATAGCATTTATTCATTTATTTAAAGAATGAAGTAGACCTATAGGTACTGATAGTAAACCACAATCAGAAGAAAAGGGAACAACAATTCAGAAATGTATGCACCAGATAGCTAACAGGGAACATGTTGTCAGAATGTTAGCCCCTTGACATTGAAGCAAAAAAAGTGAGTTTTCATCTTCATGCAGAAGAAAACAGAAAAAAAAACAAAAGGAATATTGCTCAGCAACTGACTAAATGACCCTCTGTCAGAGTTCACAAATACACAACTGAGATTAGAAAGCATCTTCCATCTCTGTCAAACAGAACAAAATATCATTAATGAAAGAGAAACAGTGCATTTCTGTGACTTCTCCCAGCACCTGGATCACATTGTACCCAAATTACCTGATCACTGGTCCATCCCTCGCCTGGACAGATAAGTTCCTTTGGGCAAGGGCCATCTTTAACCTTAGTAACTAAGCCTAGAATGTTCCATAGTCATAGGCAGATGACTGGCGATGGACTGAATGAGTCCAGTTAACTGTGCACTTCTCCAGGAAATGCTGATAGAAGATAGTGGTCTGGAACTCTGTGCCGTACATTCATGCCAGCGTGTCTTTCACATTCTCTAGGGAAGCTGGCATTCAAATTCTGATGGCAAGTTCCATCATAGAGGCAAAAAGACACTCTTGAGAAGGGAGGTTATTCAAGCTATGCAGTTGGCCAACACATCCTAGGAACATGAACTCTGTTTGTACTCAGTGTTGACTACACAACCTTTTAATCATCAATTTTATCTCCTGGCCGAATGGACTCGTTAAGACAGTATGTTCTGGCACAACGCACTGGCTGGTACTCGTTACACCGGCAGACAGCACTCCCATGACTGGCTGGCTACTCTATCCCAGTTGATCACACAGAGCCCTATGATCCTTGGTGACTGAGCGTGCAAAGCCCGCAAGAATCAGCAGGCCTCTCTCCCTCCAGCAACCCCTAGAGGCTCCAAAGCATCACAACACCAGACTCCACCTCAACTTACTTCTCACAGGTCCTTTGCCACCTTTACTGTTGGCTGTTTCTTCATCAAACTTTGGATTGTTGAGCAGATTGTGTACTCCAAGGACGGCTAAAAAAAAAAAAAAAAAAAAAAGACAATCAATGAGCATTAGGTTTAGGGAGCATATTAGGATGTCCATGTTGTTAACTGCTCTTTGAAGAACATTTTTTTGTATCTTAAAGATGCGTCTCCAAGCTCCCCTTTCTTGCTGTGTATGGAACATGGTTAGTGTTAAATAAACTTAGGAAAAACTCCCCATCCAAGTCTAACAGCAATCTTCCCATATCTTTCTGCATCTGAACACGTGGACTCACTCAGGATCCAAGTCACAATGGTCTAGTTAGATCCTCATATTACTGCAAATCTGCTTAGACTCCCTAGTTAACTAGACTCAACACTTTATTCTTCTCATCCATAAAATGAGATGGTATGACCAAGTCAAAGCATTTTTAACATTTAACATTATATATATATATATATATATGCTTTTATGTATATTTTTTCTAGAGACAAAAACAAAGAACATGAGCCCCCTTCAAAGTCCTCACTATCATTCCCACCTCTCAGTACCAAAAGTTGTTGCTTTTTCCCAGTCTAGAGCACCCCAGGTGGAAAATAAAAGAGACATCAGCAATAGCAGGTCTGCTAAGCACACTGAGCTTTTCAGTAGCCAGTGCTACCCGGAACTTGCACCAGGAGGCAGCACAGCTGCAAGAATCAACCCTGGTGGCGCATGACGAAGCAGGGCAGGCCGAAGACTTCCCCGTGCTGGGAAATTTTGTGAACCTGGTTACTGGAGAAGGATCCCAGGAGAGCTACTCTGTCAGCAGGTGGCAAAGGGACACTCCTGGGATCCTCACCTGCTCCTTTGTAAGCTACATAAGAGGAGGGAGGAGCCAGCACAGCATGAGGCAGTAAGTTAGGAGGGTGACCCTGGAGCACCCGGAGCTGCAATCCTAACCACATGAGTTGGCAAGTTACCAGACACCTCCGGGTCTCAGTTTCCTCACAAGTAAAACAGGAGTACAGAGAGATGCCCCATTTGGTACCCACAGGCCACTGGGACCACACCACAAACCTATCGTCTTGCTCTGGCCTTACACTCACCAACAACTTTGCCAAGTTTTTGTTTGTTTGTTTGATCTGTTCCCCTATGGCTATGGGTCCACCCTTGCCACCCTGCTCCAATCCAGCTGCTAATGCTACTGATAAGATCCAGTCCCCAGACAGGCAGGGCTGAGAAGCTGACTCCAATGGTGACCACCAGAGTTCCAGCCAATCTTGGAGGTGCTATCTTGGGTCAACTGCCATTGCTCATGGGCTACTCTCAATCTTCTAGAAGATGGTGCCACCCACATCTCTCTGCTTCTAAGGAGCACGTGGTGATGGAGGGAGGCTGAGTAAGGGGGAGCAAACACAGCTTTCTATTTGAATTGTCTTCCTGGTCTCACTGTATAATTTCAGAACCTAGCATCTTCCAAATGATAGGTGTTTCCCTTTCTCCTTTCTCAGGCATGTCCTGGGAATTCAGCCTCCCTTTGGGCAGTTCCAGTGGAGACGACGAGGCAACCCTTGGGAGCAGCAGTAACCACGACTCACAGGCTCACAGGGCTGACAACCAGTCGCTGCAGAGCACTCTCCTCCCCAGGTGACGCAGGCACCTCAGCTCCCGCACTGACCTCTGGGGGAGCTTCCGACACTGACACTGACATCATCAAGAAGGAACGAGAACTAGGGAGATGGCCGGCTTGCTTTAGAATAAGGCAAAGCTGCTTTTGCTGGAAGGAGAGCACACAGGAAACACCACACGGGGCAGCACCGTGTGTGCGTGTGTGTCTGTGTGCGCGTGCGTATACACATACACATACATATATACACACCCATCTTCCAATGGAATCAAAGTAAGAGCTCTTGCTACAGCTGTGCAGTGGCTTTTAAAGCATCTCTCTCCTGTGGTGCCCCGGTAATCCGCATGTGTAGGGAGATGGCATACATGTCATGTACAAATACTCTGGCATATGCAGGCAATCTTTCTCACAGGCCACACAAGACATGGGAGATGGCCTAGGTCATTAGGGTAAGAGACTGACTTTTCAACACGTACGAGGGCATTTCAAATAGTGGAAGACGTACATCATGAAAACACTATGCATCGATTTCAAAACTTCTTTTGCACCAAAAAAAATCAGCTTATCTTTTAATTTCACGTTCCATGAACTTTCATACGTACTCTAGGATTCTTTTGTATTGTTTGAGTTTTTTCCATCAGCATCCAAAAATCAATGAAAGTAATAATGATGATCATGATGACATTATGACTATCAGGAAAGCCAGAGGGCCAAACAGACCTCTTACCATGAACCAAGGAGCCCGCAAGTGTGGAGAAGAAAGAGAACTTCCTGTGACCTCTGTGACAACGAGCAACTGCCAGACGTGGACGCCCCTCAGCATGAGCTCTGTAATCCTGGCCACTTACTCTGTGCAGTATCAACGCTCGCTCCTATTTCTCCTCTTGGATTTCTCACAGAACTTCGAGTTTTGCAGCACAGGTAACGATAGTGGGCACTTTACAGCTGAGATAGAGCAAAATGCCTACTTAACAGGTGAAGTCGCCCGCGTTGAGTCCGATAGCTACAGAATGGCTCACGTCAACCTGGTATCACAGCACTAATCAACAGCTGCAGAGAAGCTCAGAGCTGCTGCCGTGGGCACCGGTGCAGGCCTGGAGGTCACAGAGCCAGACAGCAAAGTTCCCAGAGCTGAGGACTAACCTGCAAGATCATAGAGTTCAGTGTCAGAGGCGCTGGCCAAAGCTTCTTCCAGTTCCGGGTCAAGGGTCACCTTTTCTTCTTTCCGAGTTTCTATGGGCTTTTCTTTAGGGATGAAGACTCTCCCTTCAGAGCAGAAGAAAAACAAAGAACACTGTGTGTTACCCTCCGCCTTCTAGGTGGGGTAAATGCAGTTCCAGCAGTGCTGACCTAAATCATTCAGCCGTTTTGCATCCGCTGGGAACCTGCCTTGCTGGGACGGTGCCGACACCAATCACCCATCTGGCAAGGAACACCAGAGGACGGATCCTGCGCTTCACTGCCCAGAGACCCGAGACCACAGAGCCTGGGGCGGGACGGAATCAGGGGCTTCTACATCGCTCCACTGGCGGCACTGGCAGACTCCGGCCTCCTCTGCCTGCACCTGAGCGACGTTCTCACCTGGAGCCTGCTCAGCCTGGACTTCACTGCCCCTTCCCGTGTCCATCATGCTGCTGGGGGGAGGGGGTGTGACCCCCAGCCATGGTGGGATTGCCTGTGTGGGCTGGGCTGTCCAGCACATATGCTCGAGGCCCTGTTAGATGGGTCGGACTGCACGGAACACTTGGCAGCCTGAGGATACTGGCCTTTGGGCTATATTCGTAGGAGCCTCTGACATCTTCTAATGGCTTATGAGCTTTAAAATATTTAGGGGGAAATGGCATGCAGCCCTCTATTGGTGTTCTTGCCTTGGACCCTGCAATACTGGAGGCAGGTTTGTTCACACAGCACCAGGACTGCTGAAGGAGAAGCTGGGGATCCTTCAGAGTTTTTCCCATAAATTGGGATCATAGACACCAAGATTCGATATCGAGGGTTAGTCAGACAAGTGTGATGACCCAGGGACGTGGCCCCCTCTCCAGAGTGCACACACCTGACTTGGAGAAAAAAAACAGAGAGGCTGTACCCATTAGAGCTCAGAGGGATGTGTAAGCAGCAGGTGTTCTGAGCCTCCCCAGACACCCTTCCTGCTGCTATCTCCCACTCCGGCCTGTCAGGCAGACTCCCAATTATCCACGCCCCTCCCTTCTGAAAATGCTGGTATCTACGCCCTGCCTCCCCAGCCTAAACTTCTGGATGGCCGCGCCACACCGTGGGGATTCAGGCACAGAGCCTGCTGCTAACCTCTGGCCAGGTCAACACACCCACACCTCACGTGGGCAACCTCTGACAAAGGTACAGCCAGGACCCTGCCAAGCCAGCATGGCAACACCCCAGGCCCACTCATATCCTTTTCCAGTTCCTCCCAGCTTTTCCAAAAAATTATTTTTACATGTTTGAAAGGCAAAGAGAGAGAGAGAGTGTGTCTAGATCCACTGGTTCACTCCCCAAATGCTAGTAACAGCCAGGGATGAGCCACACTAAAACTGGAGGCTGGGAACTTGACCGGGGTTGCCCACGTGGGAGGCAGGGACCCAACCACTTGAGCCATCATCTGCTGTCATCCTGGGTCTGTGCCAGTTGGAAGCCGAACCTGAACTCAAACCCAGGCACCTGGACATACGAGAGGGCACCACAAGCAGTATCTTAAGTGCTGTACCAAATACCTCCCTGCTTCTGCCCCTCAGGTTCTCTCTCTCTCTCTCTGTCTCTCTCTCTCGAGCTGCTCTCACTTCTCAGGCATCGTCTTTGAAACTGGTCTCCTCCCTTTTCATCTTTGGAGTTCCCTAAAGGCTCACCCACTATTGTCTTCTCTTCTTTGCTACCCTGAGGAGAGAAATGGCTGGCTCCAGCCTCAGCCAGTGGAGGCCCACACTCTTCCCAGGTCCCAGGGGCTAGCCTGGCCCAACCTGCTCCTATGGGAAAGGCAAGGAGCCTAACCCAAAGTCAAAAACTCTCCCTCAATGAACCTCTCCCAGAGACCTTGCTCATTGCAGGGACTGTGACTTCTGATGGTTTACCAGATCGTCCAATGGCTGGCGTAGTACACAGAGCCAGAGCTGGGCACCTGAGAGAGGAGAGAGGGTCACTGCTTGTGGTTAGTCTGGGACATCCTGGCAATAAGGTCTTTTTTTTTTTTTTTTTTTTTTTTTTTTTTTTGACAGGCAGAGTGGACAGTGAGAGAGAGAGACAGAGAGAAAGGTCTTCCTTTGCCGTTGGTTCACCCTCCAATGGCCACCGCGGCTGGCGCACTGCGGCCGGCGCACCGCGCTGATCCAATGGCAGGAGCCAGGTACTTCTCCTGGTCTCCCATGGGGTGCAGGGCCCAAGCACTTGAGCCATCCTTCACTGCACTCCTGGGCCATAGCAGAGAGCTGGCCTGGAAGGGGGGCAACTGGGACAGAATCCGGTGCCCCGACTGGGACTAGAACCTGGTGTGCCGGCGCTGCAAGGTGGAGGATTAGCCTAGTGAGCCACGGTGCAGGCCAGACAATAAGGTCTTCACCCTGACATGCATCCTACTCCCCGCCTTGGCATCACCTAAGAGGCCATGTTTCCCAGGAAATACACTGGGAAATAAAGTAGGAGGATGGATACAAGGCAGAAAGTGAAAAAATAAGATCAACAAATCAATAACCTCTCAGACTCTCAGATCCCTCTCGGACTTCATTTTCACAGTATCTGCAGCCTGAAACGCGTTCTTTCTGGCTCAGAGGATCTTGGGTTTTAGAGCTAAAAACAGGACTTCAAAATTCCTCCTTCCTGGACCTTTTTAGGATTACCCTAAATGTCAGGCATAGGTGGCCCTGAGCTCTCAGGACACAGGGCAGCTGCTGATGCAGATCCATTTCCTGGGGGCCCAAGCAAACAATAAGACCCAAGCGAAGAAAGCTTGCAGGGAGGAGTTAAGCTGAGCCCAGAAGCCCAAGGTGCCAGGGCGCCCAACTCTGAGAACCGTGGCACTTGGAGGGAGACTTCCCATGCTCCTAATGGTCTTGTGGGTCCTTCCGGGGGCGCTGCCTACATCTCACTCTGATCCCACTGCCCTGTCCGGAACACTTGCTCCCTGCTTCTTTTGTTCAACCGTGCCCCTTACTACCCTTCTTCAAGCTACACCGTGCAAGTGTACAGCCCTTCCATATGCATGCACTACTCAGACAGCTCCTGCGCCCCTGACTGCCTCAGCCTGGACTGAGGGCTGAGTTAGCACAGCCACGCCTCAGGCCTTACTCCAAGAACACAAGACAAGCACGCTCCCCGACTATGCTGCCACCACCCTCATGCTCAGTGCTCAGCAGGATTTCCTAGATTTAACATTAGAATTCGTTTTGCAATTAAACGAGTCCAGTTGCAACAAGCCTGCTGCCACAAAAACAGCTCCCTACTTCCCTGGTCATTCTCGGCCATTTGCCCAGCTCATCCTGATTCCACTTGGCTTTCTTAATGCCATTCTCAATGGTGCGTGATCCACTGAGCGTGCACGACACAGAGGACAGCCAGGGTGCTGTGGGGGAGGAGGCAGCGAGCGCTCTGACTCCCCTGACACAGGAGCTGCCCCCACTGCTGTGGGCCAGGGCCCTAGGCACAGCCTTCACGCACACCCATGCCTCCTCTGTGCCCATTTCCGTGCCAGGGCACAGAAAGACTCAGTCCCACTGAGGCAACCCCAACCTGAAACAGGAAACAACAAAACCACGGTAAATAACGATGACGGACACCGTCACAGGGCTGTGAAAGCAGTCGACAGGTGTCAGCTTAGAAACAAGGGCTATTTTACCACATTTTTAACAACTTTTTTTTTTTCTAAAAAAAACTATGTATTTATTTTTGTTTTATTTAAAGGCAGAAAGAGAAAGAAAGATCTCTTATCCATAGTTCATTCCCCAAATGCCTACAAAGACCAGGGCTGGGTCAGGCCCAAGCCAGGAGCCTGGGCCTCAGTCCAAGTCGCTCAGGTGGGCCACAAGGAGCCAGTCACGGAGCCATCACCTGCTGTCTCCCACAGTGCCCACCGGCAGGAGGCTGGAATCAGAAGTAGAGCCGGGACTTGAACTCAGGCACTCCAGTAAGGGCTGGGGGTGTCCAAACGGCACCTTACAGGGTCTCAACAGGGGGTCTATGGTAGATGGGCTTCACTTGGAGTTGCACATTCTGTGGGCTGGGCAGCTGTGGAATGACATGTGGCTCCCAGCCACGTGTCTTTACCACTGAGTCCAGTTCCTGGGCTCCTTCTCCACTGCCAGGTCGGCTGCCTAGCCTGACCCTGCAGGCCAGCACAGGGAGAGCAGCCTTGCCCCAGGAGGCACTGCCTGCACTCCTTACCTTTTTTCTCTCCTGTGAAGGGCACAAAGTCCTCCCTGTCCTTCTGCTGCAAGGCCTCCTTCTCCAGGTAGGTGAGTAGGTGCTCGCGGTCAAACGGGCCGGTGGCTGCCTTCTGCGTCTGGTCTTTCTGGCGCAATCCGGCCGGCAGCATGGCACTCTAGGACGGGCGTGAGCAGGAAGGACGGTGTCGGCTGGTCCCATGCTCTGTCACCTCACACCCTCCCATCCTACTTGCTGTGCGGGCGGGGGGAGCAGGGAGAAGGACACCTCTGCAGAGGCTTGCGAGTGAGCACAGGGCTGTGGACTCACACATCTTGGAGGCCCCACCTCTTTTAACACCCCTGCTTGGAGGATGGCACCCACCAGCTCAGGCAGGACCCGGACAGCTGCAGTGGCTTCTCAGTCCCCTGCACCTGCCTTCTAGAATGCTGCAGACAAAGGCCCCTTTCTTGGCAGATCGCACTTAGGGTTGGCTAGGTCTGTCCCAGGGGTTCTCCCTCGAGGACTCATGGAGACTCCAACAAGGGGGCCAATATGACCATACTCTCTTATTTCTTTTTCTCTTTCAAAAAGATGCATGTGGGGCCGGCGCCGCGGCTCACTAGGCTAATCCTCCGCCTAGCGGCGCCGGCACACCAGGTTCTAGTCCCGGTCGGGGCGCCGGATTCTGTCCCGGTTGCCCCTCTTCCAGGCCAGCCCTCTGCTGTGGCCCGGGAGTGCAGTGGAGGATGGCCCAGGTGCTTGGGCCCTGCACCCCATGGGAGACCAGGAAAAGCACCTGGCTCCTGGCTCCTGCCATCGGATCAGCGCGGTGCGCCGGCCGCAGCGCGCTGGCCGCGGCGGCCATTGGAGGGTGAACCAACGGCAAAAAGGAAGACCTTTCTCTCTGTCTCTCTCTCTCTCACTGTCCACTCTGCCTGTCAAAAAATAAAAAAAAATAAAAAAAATAAAAAAAAGATGCATGTGGCTGGCGCTGCGGCTCACTAGGATAATCCTCCGCCTTGCGGTGCTGGCACACCAGGTTCTAGTCCCGGTCCAGGCGCCGGATTCTGTCCCGGTTACCCCTCTTCCAGGCCAGCTCTCTGCTGTGGCCCGGGAGTGCAGTGGAGGATGGCCCAAGTACTTGGACCCTGCACCCCATGGGAGACCAGGATAAGTACCTGGCTCCTGCCATTGGATCAGCGCGGTGCACTGGCCGCAGCGCGCCGGCCGTGGCGGCCATTGGAGGGTGAACCAACGGCAAAGGAAGACCTTTCTCTCTGTCTCTCTCACTGTCTACTCTGCCTGTCAAGAAAAAAAAAAAAGATGCATGCATGTATGTATACATGCATGTATTTATTAATTCATGTGAAAGGCAGAGTGACAGAAAGAGAGAGAGTGTGTAGGAGATAGGGATGGGGAGAGTGTAGAAGGGGGGAGGAGGGAGAGATGAGGGGACAGAAGGGAAGAGAGTAGAGAGGCAAAGGGAAAGGGAGAGGGATGGAGAGGGAGAGGGAGAGAGAGGAAGAGAGTTACCTTCCATCTATTGGTTCATTTCTCAAATTGCTGCCAACAGCCAGTTCTGGGCCAGGCTGAACCCAGGAGCCAGCGTCTCCATCCTGGTTTCTCACATGGGTGGAAGGGCCCAAGTACTTCGGTCATGTTCCACTGTTTTCCCAGGTGCATTAGCAGGAAGCAGGATCAGAAGCAGAGCAACCTGCGTCTTAACTTACTATGCCACAACACCTGCCCCCTACACTCTCTCATTTCTAACATCTCTCCTACATATCCATCCAAGAAGATGAGTGACTATTATGGTGGATGTTGATGCCTGCTTGACTAAACTTTGGTATTCCTTTCTTTCTTTTTTTTTTTTTTTTGACAGGCAGAGTGGACAGTGAGAGAGACTGACAGAGAGAAAGGTCTTCCTTTGCCGTTGGTTTACCCTCCAATGGCCGCCACGGCCGGCGCACCACGCTGATCCAATGGCAGGAGCCAGGTGCTTCTCCTGGTCTCCCATGGGGTGCAGGGCCCAAGTACTTTGGGCCATCCTCCACTGCACTCCCTGGCCACAGCAGAGAGCTGGCCTGGAAGAGGGGTAACCGGGACAGAATCCGGCGCCCCGACCGGGACTAGAACCCGGTGTGCTGGTGCCGCAAGGTGGAGGATTAGCCTAGTGAGCCGCGGCGCCGGCCTGGTATTCCTTTCTTAAGTTAAAAGCAAAACCAAACCAAGGGGCCAACACTGTGGCATAGAAGGTTAGGCTTCTGCCTGCAGTGCTGGCATCCCATATGGGCACCTGCAAGTCCTGGCTGCTCCACTTTTGATCCAGTTCCCTGCTACTGCACCTGGGAAAGCAGTGGAAGATGGCCCATGTACTTGTGACTCTGAAACTATATGGGAGACCTGGAGGAGGCTCCTGGCTCCTGGCTTTGGTCTGACCCAGTCCTGGCTGTTGCATCCATTTGGTGTGAACTAATAGATAGATGGGTGATCTCTATCTCTCCCTCTCTCTGTATTTCTGCCTTTCAAATAAATAAATCTTAAAAAAGAATACCAAACTAGAACACTCCTCTTTCTTGAAGTGAATACAACATCCAAGTATTTAGCATATCAGAGTAAAATATAAATAATTTTATTTTAGTTATTTTATTTACAGTAAAATCACTATTTTGGATGTCTACAATTCCAAGTTTAAGATTAACATCATCAAGGTTGGCACTGTGGCACAGCGGGTAAAGCTGCCACATGCAACTCTGGCATCCCATATTAGTGCTGGTTCATGTCTCGGCTGCTCCACTTTTGATCTAGCTCTCTGCTAATGGCCTGGGAAAGCTTAGCAGAAATGGGCCAAGAGTTTGGGGAGACCCAGACGAGGCTCCTGGTTTCAGCTTGGCCCAGCGCTAGCTGTTGCAGCCATTTGGGGAGTGAACCAGTGGATAGAAGATTCTCTCTCTCTGAAACTCTTTCAACTAAATAAATAAACAAAGCTTTTTTAAAAAAAGAAAAGATTACTATTATAAGGGCTGAAGAAAGGGCATGCTCAACAAATCAGTGGTATAGCTTTTCAAAAGCGCATACAAATATTAGAAGCCCCACTTATATTCACTTGATGCTATGACTATGGTCATTCTTCTATCCTTTATTGTAGGATAGATTTTGAATTATGGATGCATTTGGAAGTCTGCATTTGGGGGTAAAGAGCTGGTTTAAACCTATCTCTGACGTCTGGCCTGGGATCTTATGTGTACTACGGCTCCAGTCTCTCTCCTCATTTATAAGGAGGGGATGAGGGTGCTCACCTCAAGGGCGTCTGCACCCAGCACTCATGACTCACAGCACTCCGGTGCCTCCTCTTCCCTTCTTTTCCCCTGAGTTTGAAGTCCGACTAGCCCGTCCTCAGAAAGTGGCTTTGCGGTCACTTGCGCATTTGGAAAAGTCAGTGACTCAGACCCAATTAGGAGGACACAGAATTTGCACTTGGAGCTAAAGGATTTCCACTGTTGCTGAAGGACCAGGGCCTGCCATTGATCCCACGCTCTCATTAACCGCTCTGCTCTGGTTCCGTGTCACTCACCTCGGGATCTAGGTCATCGAGAACATTTTCCAACTGTTTCAGCTCCTCCTCTGAGAGTTTGCCAAGCAGCTCATCTTCATCGATGTTCTTGTATTTCTCCAGCTCTTTCTGAAAGGGCAGGGCCATGGCTTCCGGACGCCCTTCTCATGGGCCGTGCACGTGTCAGCGGGCCAGCTCCCTGAGACCTCAGAACACTGCCAAGAAAAAAGAAACACTGGCATCTTCCTTCTGTGACCGGGACAGCATGCTGTCAGTGAAATCACTTAACCGCAAGGTAGGATTATTGCCGTTTTCACAGCAACGTGACAGCTTTCATATGTGCATGTCACGTCACTCGTTTCGATCGTTACAACCACCCTGTGAGGAAGCCTGGGCAAGTGTTATCACTCCTGTCAGCAGATGACGATGCCGAGATGAAGGTGGCTGGCGGCCACAGGGCTGGGAGGTCCCCAGTGGAGTGAGTGCTTCCCCATCACTTTACTCTGCCTCCCCCAGCTTTCTGTAGACAAACACTGGAGAACAAGGCACTCATTGAAAGTCAGTTGTAAGAAGCACGCTTGTGCCCTTTCAGGGAGAGAGTGATGTGAAGAATGCAAAATGCGATCCATTCAGGAGAGAGCGAGTTTGGAGTGTGTGTGAGAAAGCATTGTCCAGTGCTTCCCCTGCCTTTAAACTAAGAAAGATTCTCAATCCTGGCCACGCCACCCCTTGTTCTACTTCTCTTTCCTTCATCTTCCGTTCTATCTCTATTTCTATTCCCATTCTACATTTTAAATTATTTATTTATTTGAGAGGCAGAGAGACAGGGAGAGAACTTCATCTGCTAGTTCACTTCCCAAATAACCCTAACAGCTGGGGCTGGGCCAGGCTAGTCCAATCTGGGCCTCCCATGTGGGTGAGAAGGACCTATATAAGCCATCACCTGCTGCTTCCCGGGGCGCTATTCTGTGGGATGCTAGGATCCGGAGAGGAGCTGGGGCTTGAACCCAGGTACTCTGACACGCGATGTCAGTGTCCCAAGTGGCATCTTCACTCCTACACTGAATGTCTGCCCCCATCTCTTGTTGTTTCATTTGCTATCCTCCCTACTTCTTTTCCCTTACCCCTTAGGTCATTTTCACTTCAACTCCCTCTTTTTTATACCACCTCACTCTTAAACTTTCACTCAAAGGGAAGTTTTTACTCAATACCTTCCTCCCTGCAGAGGATTTTACAGATCGTCACTAGAAAGACAATACTGCATTCAGGAAAACAGTAATGTGCCTGAGTGACTGTCCTCTTAGGAAATATTAACATCGGTCAGATCTTTCACGGCAATCAACCGTCTGCTCTACACCCACTTTCCAGGCATAGTTCTAGAAAACAGGAACACAAGGATAAACAAGACATGGCCCCTTCTCCCAAGGAGACACAGTTAACTGTGACAGACTCACAAACAGCAGGTAAGTGCTAGAGGTAAGTTACAATGTTGGCTTAAAACACATGAGCGGGCCGGCATTTGGTGCAGCAGTCTTAAGATGCTGGAATCCTATGTCAGAGAGCCTGGCTCAGGTCCCAGCTACTCTGTTTCTGATCCAGCTTCCTGCTAATGTGCGCCCTGGGATAGTGCAGGTAATAACCTAAGTACTTGGGTTCCTGCCACCCACATAGGAGTCCCAGGTTGAGTTCTGGGCTCCTGGCTTCAGCCTGGAATGCTGTAGGCATTTGGGGCACTGATCAGCAAATGGGAGATCCCAGCACCCCTAACTCCTCTACCATTCAAGCAAAATTTTTTTAAAGATTTTATTTAATTGAAAGAGTTACAGAGAGAGGTAGAAACGGAGAGAGGTCTTCCATCCGCTGGTTCACTCCTCAGATGGCCGCAACGGCCGGAGTTGCACTGATCCGAAGCCAGGAGCCAGGAACTTCTTCCAGGTCTCCCATGTGGGTGCAGGGGCCCAAGGACTTGGGCCATCTTCCACCGCTTTCCCAGTCCATAGCAGAGAGCTGGATCAGAAGAGGAGCAGCTGGGACTTGAACCAACGCCCATATAGGATGCTGGCATTGCAGGCCAGGGTGTTAACCATCTACGCCACAGTGCCGGCCCCATCAAATAAATTTTTGTTAATGGGAAATCAAACCACATGATGGACTCATTACTAGATAAAGTTGGGGGAGGGGGGTTGAAGGAAACTGTGAGAAAGAGGTTGTGTCTGAGCCTTGAAGGAAGCAGTCATGAGGTGGACATGAGTGTACAGGGGCCATTCTAGAAGAACAGCATGAATGGAGGTATGAAAGTACATGACATTGGCGTGTGGCTGGAGGAGAGGGCCCATGGGGAGGGAGAGGAAAGAACCAAGACAAAGATGGGGCATGGGTGCAGAATGGGAATTCATTCTGTTGGGCCTGCAAAGTCACCACAACTTGTAAATGGGAGATGTTTTGTGTAAGGCACGCAGACGGAAAGACCGAACACTGAGCAGTGAGGGGAGAGACAGGCTGCAGGTGGGCCGTGCAGGGACAGAGAATGTCACTCCCATCCCTTAGTAATCCAAGTACTCAGAATGGTCAGGCTGTGGCTTCCTAGTTAGTTTAGTCTCTTCACATGCAATGCAATTCTTTCTCATTCATAAGCCCTCCTTTTAAATTTCAGTTGCTGTATTCCAATAGAAACCAAACAAGCACAAGTCCTACTAACATCAGGGGAGCACATATCATGTTCTGGCCCCAGCTACCACTAATTATTGTGTGACACTGGACAAGGATCTCATCAACCCAGCACTTAACCATCAAATGAACAAGGTGAAATACCAGCATTAATGGTGTCTAAGGTGACTGCATTGAACATTCTGAAACTGAGATGTGGCTTACAATCCAGCAACAAGGCAAGATGCATTTGCCAGTGCCTGGATACACATAAACATTAGGAGCATCGTCTTTAAAATTCACAGAATAGGTGCTGGCAAGCTACAAGGAAACCTCAGGGCCAACAGCTGGATGCGCTTTTTTTTTTTCCGTAAGATTTATTTATTTATTTGAAAGTCAGAGTTACCGAGAAGGAGAGGCAGAAGTGGAGGCAGAGAGAGAGAGAGAGAGAGGGAGAGAGACTCAATCTTCCATCTACTGGTTCACTCTTCAAATGGCTGCAAAAGCCAGGCCAGAGCTAGGAGCCAAGAGCTTCTTCCAGGTCTCCCACATGAATACAGGGGCCCAAACACTTGGGCCATCCTTTGCTGCTTTCCCATGTGCATTAACAGGGAGCTGGATTGGAAGAGGAGCAGCCAGGACTTGAACTGGTACCCATTTGGGAAGCTGGTGCTGCAGGTGACAGCTTTATCTGCTATGCCACAGCACTGGCCCCTGAATGCTCTTTCTAAGCCCAGGAAGAAAACCACTGTGGGGAGGTGGCGATGCAGGTGTGAGGAGCAGCACTCCCAAAGGAAGGTCCACAACAGAGTAGTTCCACATAATTTCAGAGTAGGCTGAGGTGCCCACAACCAACGGCTTTCAGCTCTTTTCAAGATTGTTATACCAATCAACCCAAATTTTTATTTTAACTCAATTAACCCTTAGTGGCACAGGGGATATACTTAGTGGGGGACAAAACAGATATTGTCTATGAGTCAAAAAGTGACTTAAGGCCGGCGCCGCGGCTCACTAGGCTAATCCTCCGCCTTGCGGCACCGGCACACCGGGTTCTAGTCCCGGTCGGGGCGCCGGATTCTGTCCCGGTTGCCCCTCTTCCAGGCCAGCCCTCTGCTGTGGCCAGGGAGTGCAGTGGAGGATGGCCCAAGTGCTTGGGCCCTGCACCCCATGGGAGACCAGGAAAAGCACCTGGCTCCTGGCTCCTGGCTCCTGCCATCGGATCAGTGCGGTGCGCCGGCCGCAGCGCGCCGGCCGCGGCGGCCATTGGAGGGTGAACCAACGGCAAAGGAAGACCTTTCTCTCTGTCTCTCTCTCTCACTGTCCACTCTGCCTGTCAAAAAAAAAAAAAAAAAAGTGACTTAAAAAATTGGGCTACTGGGGCTGGCACAGTGGTGCAGCTGGTAAAGCCACTGCCTATGACACTATCATCACATAAAGGCACCAGCTCGAGACCCAGCTGCTCTACTTCCAATCCAGCTCCCTGTTAATGTGCCTGGGAAAGCAGCAGAGGATGCCTCAAGTCCTTGGGCCCCTGCATCCACATGGGAGACCTGGAAGAAGCTCCTGGATCCTGGCTTTGGACCAGCCCAGCTCCACCCATTGAAGCCATTTGGGGAGTGAACCAGAGAATATAAGAACTCTGTCTCTGTCTCTCTTTCTGTAATTCTGCCTTTCTTTCTTTCTTTTTTTTTTTTAAAGATTTATTTTATTTATTTGAAAGACAGTCTCTCAAAGAGAGAGGTTTTCCATATGCTGGTTCACGGCATGGCCAGTGCTGAGCTGATCCGAAGCCAGGAGCCAGGAGCTTCTTCCGGGTCTCCCACGTGGATGCAGGGGTCCAAGCACTTGGGCCACCTTCTACTGCTTTTCCAGGTGCATTAGCAGGGAGCTGGATCCAAAGTGGAGCAGCCAAGACTTGAACCCACACCCATATGGGATTCCGGCACTGAGGCCAGGGCTTTAACTTGCTGCACCACAGCACTGGTCCCTCTGCCTTTCAAATAAAATAAATAAATCTTAAAAAAAAAAAAGTTGGACTCTGAATGTGAAGAATATCAAGCTATTCATTTCACTTACATTTTTGCTTTTCTGTATGCATAGGAAAGATACATGGTTTTGAAAAGTATATTTGGTGCATGTTTCTTTGTAACTGCCAAAGCCTGCACACAGCCTGAGTGATCATTAGCAGGTGAACAGATACACAAACTGTGGGAGTCCACATAATGGAGTACTTCTCAGTGACAGAGAACAATGAAACACTGATGGACACAACGTGGATGAACCGCAAAATAATTATAATGAATGGAAGAAGTCAGGCCCAAAAGCAGGTACACAATTTCCTTTACATAAAACTTTAGAAAATGTAGACTAATCTATATGACAGAAGCCAGCAGCTGCTGAGGGCTGGGAGAGAGGTGGGAGAAGTTAAAGGCACATGGGAAACTCTGGGGGCTTGTTCACTACCTTGATGGTGATAGCATATGCACCATATGGCAGGTACATGCATAGGTCACACCCCATCAAAGTGCACACTTGAAAATGTGCACTTTATCGTACACCAACTACACCT